TATATGTAGGGATGATGACGGGTAGATTTGAACCGAACCAAACACCATAGCCACCGAACTGGCAAATTATGTTGTGCATCTGTATGCACCATGCATGGTGCATACGGATGCAAAAACGACGTCGTTTTATTAAAAACACGCGTCTCACTTAAAAATGCATAATTTGAACTAAAATTTCAGAATCGATGAACTAAAATTCTAGAATCGATGAACTAAAATTCCAGAATCTATGAACTAAAATTCTAGAATCTATGAACTAAAATTCCAGAATGGATGAGCTAAAAATCCATAATGAATGAACTAAATATCCATAATGAATGAACTAAATATCCAGCATGAATGAAAAAAATCAGTTTCGATTCACGTCTAAATATCCATAATCAATGAACTAAAATTTCAGAATATATGAACTAAAATTCCAGAATCTATGAACTAAAATTTCAGAATGAATGAACAACATAATGCTGTTAAGGGGAATAGAAACTGATTTTTTTTTAAGTGGGATGCGCGTTTGTAATAAAACGACATCGTTTTTGCATCCGTATGCACCATGCATGGTGCATACGGGATGCACAGCATAACGATCCCACCGAACTAATGGAATAGGGGCGGTTCTTGTTACGATTCAGAACTATAAAAAATAAAATAATTGTTAAATTTAGACTATTTTAAAATAAAAAAAATAAAATTTCCAAAAATAAATAATAAAGAAATTTTGAATCAACAGTTTAAACTGAAACAGGAATCAAAATAAATGTGAACTTGAATTGAACAGGTCTATCATTTACAAACGGTGTTTATAAATCTGTTCGATTCTAGTTTGCATTTACTCTGATTCTAGTTTCGGTTTGAACCGTCGATTCAATATTTATTTATTTTTGTAAATTCTATTTTCAATTCTATTTTAAAAATAGCCTAAATTTAACAATTATTTAATTTAATTTAATATTTTCTAGTTCTGAATCGAAACAAGAACTGTCTTTACTATTTCAATTCGGTTGCTAGTGTTCGATTCGGTTCAAATCGAACTGTAGTCATCCCTACATATAAGGCATGATTTGTTGGATAAAAAATAATAATATTTTAAAGGTAAAAATGTCCTTTTAACATCAAAGGGGGGAAAACTACCACGTTTAAAATAATTGAAGGGGAAAATGTGGATACATTAATTACTCGGGAAAAAATAGTGCTATAAGTTTATTATTTAGGGGAAAAAATTACCATTTTTCCCTTTAAAATATTTTGAGGCCTAATTTATTTTACTTTTGAAAATTTAGTCCCACTCAATTGATTTGAATAAATCTAGTCCCTTAATTGTTAATAATGTACCACATTTAGTCTCTCATATTATATAATTAAAAATTCTTTTTTTGAATAATTTTTTTCAAAAGGTTATAACTGTCAATTTCTTTAACCTATTAACTTTCTTTTTCCTCTGTACGCCTTTGCAACCAAATCAACATCCTGGAATCATAAACAAGGGGGGAAGAACCTTTGTGACTCTATCTAATCTTCAACAAACCAAATGCCAAACCAAAAGAAATATTTTGTCAAAGAAGCAGTCCCAAAACAATAAGTGATTTCAGAAGATTGTGACAGTTGCAATATTGAAGGGATATATATTTTGTAAATGGCTACAAACCATAACCTTATAATATAGTACTAAGTTTTTGAAAAAAGGCTCACTAGTCACTTTGGTTGTTATTTTGTAAACTTTTGTCTATTCTGCCACGATATATTTTTTTGCTTTAGGGGATCATATAAGATTGAATTCTGATATGCCAAATTAAATGACGGCTATTTTTGCATAATATAGTAGATGGTTGTTATTTGATAAGTTATTTTTTTTATAAAAATACTAGTATTGAACTTGAAATGATGGTGAAGTAAATGACATTACTATTCATTATTTTTGCTGTTCATTATTTATGCTATACTTAGTTTAGGGAGATTGGTTTTATAATAGGGAGGTCGACAGTATAATATGTAGCTTATTTGTTATTTTTGTAACTTATTATTTGTGCTTTTTATTTTATTGTTTTTGATCTATGAAATCTCCAATGCAATCTCATCTACAAATGGTAAGGCATACATTAAAAAGAAAGAGAAGAAAGCTAAATAGTTGAAAGGAATGGACAATTATAACCTCATGAAAAAAATTATTAAAAAAAAGGAATTTCTAATTATATTATATGAGGGACTAAATGTGGTACATTATTTACAATTAAGGGACTAGATTTATTCAAATCAATTGAGAGGGACTAAATTTCCAAAAGTAAAACAATTGAGGGGCCAAAAACGCCGTTTCCCCTTTTTAAAATTAAGATAAAAGTACAACTTATTACTTTATTTTAGAAATAATAATGCAATAAATTATTTAGAATTGTTATTTGTTAGAATTAAATATTACAGCGTACTAATAAGTATAGTTTTTAAATTAAACACATGATTTATTATCAATAAATTTCATTTGCTCACTTATAAATATGAGACAGTTGAACACCGAAAAGCTTATCACTTTTCAATACTTTTGCTTACTATTCTTTACCTCGTTTCTATGAAAAATACCAAAATATTTTTCTTAAAATGTTGGACTTATTATGTTCTAGTTTGTTTAACAATAGATTTGAGTGCTTGAATATTATCAGTGTAAATCATTATATCTTGAGTAATAGTCTCTCCAACAGTCCTAACATTCTTTGAAAGAAATGAATTGAATATGTTCTAAGAAAATTATGTATTTTGATCATAACTCCTAAAATTATGTTTCCCTAACAAGATGATGAAATGAAAGTGAATTGATAGAACGTCCGGCTTCTACTTAAGCTATGAAAAATTAAACGCGGAAGGCTCCACAGTTGTGCTAACGTGGGAAGATATATTATCAATTAAATTTATTGTTTTGTCAAACATTAATGTTGGGTGAAATAGTGATGAGTTTATATTACTTTTTAAAACAAAATAAATAAATAAATTATTCTTTTGTCTTAAAGGACAAAATAATTTTCTCATCCACCAGACCCCACACTCTGACTTGACAAAATACTGAAACAATAAATCACGATAACTCAACGACCCATTAGATGGGAGGACCAGTTCCTGGTCCCATAAGGAGCCCATCACATTGGATGCAGCTCCATATTGCGACTACCAAAATCGATCATGTGCCATTGCCCATAATTTACCATTTAAGAACCAATTGAATTAAAGAACAATGTACATGAGAAATAAAAAAGAGAGTAAAATTCTGATTAATTTGTTAACAATCATATTTAAGTAATTCACAATTAACATAGTTTCGTTTGCAGCTCCATTCAACATCTTTAACATAAAGGTGTTGATCTTCTTCAGCATAGTTCACCAAACCATTATGAACACATTGTTTAAGTTTTTGCTCTGCATCTTTGACAATATGTTCCATAGTTCTTTTTGGCAAACTATACGCACATACTAACAAAGGGAAAATAATGGCCAAAACAAACACCACATTAATGTGCTTATAAACCATACTTAATTATTTCTCTTATATATGTCTTTATATTGTCTTATTTATAGTTTAGTGGGTCTCCTCGACAACTAACTCTTTGTGACTCGTGTGTGTCTATATATATATATATATATATATATATATATATATATATAACCCCCAAGGTGAATTGAACTAGTGCTAGTATTTACGTAACGTAAGTGTTTAATTTATTAATTACTTGAGATTTAATAACACAAACTATCATTAATTATCATTTTTTACGAATTGAATTATGTAGTTAATTAATGACATGTATGTTGAGTTTTGATTAAATGTTTATGTTTAATTTTTTATTTAATGAAATTATTTTTTAAAAAATATGTTTTCATAAATTAATTGTATTACCGAATACGAGACATTATAAATCTTAAAAATTAACACATACGAATAAAAGTTCTAAATCACTCAATTGAGAATAAATTTCAAAATTCGATATTTGAAACATTATTTAAATGACATATATAATACATGTTTTTAAATTTTTTTTAATACAATATACAATTATAGGTTTATTACCGCATATTCATTAAATTCATAGAGGATCATCAGTCACTACTATAAACTCATTAAGACACTACTGTAAATTTATTAAATCACTACTACTGGTTAATTGAGACATGCAATACTTTTCAGCATCACTGCCCTCAGGGTTGGATTGTCAAGCTTATCTTGAATTGATAATCCATTAATTGTACCCAACTGTCACACCAATTTATTTATTAATTAATATTTAACTTTTAGGTTCTAATTTATTTTTGTTATAAACAAATTTTTATGAAGGATATTATTATCCAATTGTAACCGTTATAACAGTAATTACCATTTATGTGTATTCATTATTCATTATTTCCTTTGTATGGTATATAGAGATACTATTGTAATTGGAAAGGTGAAAGAATGAACAGGATGATCCTCCTTCTCGATATAATCTCTCAGAATTCTTTCAACACGTTATTAGCGCTTTGCTCTACAGCTTATAAAACTTATACTGCACTCCCATCCAAACCCAAATGCATTTGTGGACTTATCCAAGCCATTTTGATATTATCCAAACCCCATTCTATATCATTGTTTTTACTTGTGTTTAAATTGCATTATCTTAACTAGATTTTTAGCCTTTAATTGTTGACTTTACCCAACCATGAATTTGAATTTGCTTGGATTCTTGTGGGTTCCAATACTTTGGTGCCTAGAATTTTAGTTTTCACTCAAGTACGTGCCATAGTCCCAATCCCTTGCGGAACGACAATTTACACCCGTTTACTCACCATCTTTCCCGTACATCAACTTTTTGGCGCCGTTGCCGGGGATTGGCAATTTGGTAGTTCTATATGATTGTTTGTTTTACTAGCATTAGAGTTTAGGGAATTTTAGGAGACTAAGCTTTTATTTTTTTGTTTTGTTTATTTGTGTTGTGATTAAGTGCTTACAAGTCTATATCTTTAAGTTTGATTGAAAGAGATTTTGCAAGATGGACCAAGGAGGATATTATAACTCTCAATCTTATGGGGGCTATGGAGACTACATGTCTCAACAAGGATACTACAATGTCCCATCCATTAGTCCTTGTACAACTCAAGCCCCACCTCCAAATAGCTATCATGATGCTCAATTTCAAAATCCTTACCCACCACAATCCTACCAAGACTCACCTTATCATTCCCAACCTCCATATCATAATCCATATCCTCAACAATACCAAGATCCCCAATATGCTTTTTATGATCAATACCCTCAATGTTCACAAGACTACAATCCACCTCAACATCCTTTCCCACCACAAGATTACTCTCCAAATCCATACCCTTCACCCATTCATTACACACCATACCCCCAAGACACTCAACCCTCATATGATCATCACATCCATTCACCAAGTGTTGGGAAGTTTGGAGTAGATGAGGAGACTTTAGCATTGGTTAGGCGTTGGGGAGTCACTATTGTACGCGATGATGACATTGAGGATGAGGGTTATCCAATGCGACCAAGTGAGGATGAATATGCCAATAATCAATGGGAACCTCAAGAACCACTCTATCAAGAACCTCAACAAGAATGTCAACCATTTGATCAAGATCCGGAGATGAAGTTTATGATGTCCAACATGCTTAAGCAAATGAATGAGCAACAAGTTCTACTAGACAACATGATGGCTCAAATACAAGGTTTGACAACTCAAGAACCCGTTCAAGAATTGTTTTCCAAAGGAGAGGTTTTACAAGAGTTGTTCTTGCCAAATGAAGGTCATGTGGTTGAAGAGAAAGAGAAGATATGCGAGGACCTTGAAGATGAAGACGATGAGGTTTATGATGAGTGCATTGATATGGAAACACCAAGTTGGGGAGAAATTGTACACTTGCAAGGGAATGGTGATAAAGAACAACTAGAAGATGGTCCAATTGAAGAAGTGCAAGAAAATGATGGTGTTGAGGAAAAAACAAAAGATGAGAGTGTTGAGGAAGAAGAGGAAGAGAATATGGAAGTTGGTGACAAGGATCACATTGAAAATTGTCCATTTGAAGAAAAATGTAGTTGGGAGAATGCAAGGTTTAAATGAGGAACTCCCTTTAATGGAGCATGTTGAGAATTTTAGAAGAGTTTGGGAACTGGGAGGAGTTAATGGTTTTGAGAGTATTGGCCCACATTGGCCGATATTCATATCTAAGGACTCCCAATTCTTATTGGTGAATTACAAAGTACCAAGGTTCTCCTTGCTTATTCAAGATGGAAAATGTCAAAAAGAGAAAAGGTGTGGAACTAAAGAGAATGATCAAGCTCTTGTGTATTATCATGATCCAAGGTTTAGAAAGAAGACATCATTTGATTTGTGGATTAAAAATGGATTTGAGGAAGGGTCATGCTTGAAGTTTGATTTGGATGAGCATTATTTCTTAAACTTTGAAGTGGTAATATTAATATTTTAAAAAAATGTAATTTTGTTTTTTAATTTTTAAATACGAAAAAATAAATCTTATTTGTAGAATTACTTTGAATTAAAAAAAAATCGAGGACCGTTCTGCCGGGCCCGTCAACCCACAAGGGGCAGGCTTTGGTTGCATGAACCCTAGTCTGCGGGTTTGGTGGGCCGACTCGCAAAAGTCCACATTTGCATGCGCATCTTTTGGATTCTTTGAAAATGACTTCCCCCCCCCCCCCCCCCCCCCCCCCCCCCCCAAAAAAAAAAAAAATGGAAGTCATTTTCGACCAAAACATACATATTTTCCTTTGACTAATGCATCATTTTCCATTGACCTCATTTCCTCCCCTCTTGCTAAATACTGAAAACTCGGAAGTCATTTTCCGGATTTCCAAACGTAGCCTAAGAATAAAAAATCTCGAAGAAATCACCGCATGCATAGGAAGTTAGGAACATTACAAGACTACTATTGATTTTAATTTTTAACACTCTTTAAGAATGAGAGAAGAACATCATGAAGTACTTGTGCTTATTAATGAGCTTACTGAATATTTTGAATTATTCTCAATATATATGTGCTAAAGAACAACACAAATGAAAAAAGTGAGATTCTAATTATAATTATTTTTTTGGACAATCCTTTTTAAGTATTTCACAATCGAAATAGTTTTCTTTGCAGAAATTATCAAGACCTAGACGCTCATCAAGATAGAACTCATATACAGTAGGATTGTAATCTTTGATATGATGTTTCTGTTCAAGAATGCATTGTTCAATTTTTTGTTTGACCTCTTTGGCAATATCTTCTGCAGTAACTTCTTGAGGTGAATCTGTATTGCATGAGAGCACTAATAACGGCAAAAAAATAATTAACCCAAACACCATAGTAATGTGTTTATAACTCATTATAATTATTGATTCTTTCGTTTATGTCTATTATTTTATTTTTATTTTGTTGAGTCTATTTGACGAGTCCCGCTTGTGTCCTTGTGTGTATGTATACACACATCCACCCAATTAAGGTGAATTGAATTCGCGCTATTACTTAGTTAGATGTGTTGTAATTAACTATTTGAAATTTAATGAACAAATATCTTAGTTATCAATTCTTTTACAAACTGAACTATGTTCCGTAACTGTTTAATAATTTCTTTAATAAGAATGTCATTTTTTTTTTGGTAAGGAAAGAGAGGTAAGCCTCAAAATTAACGGATCCTACGAGTGAGCGCGCCCCCCGTATCTCTGGCAAGAATAGTCATTAAGCCATCCATTGGTTCGCTAAAGACCCAGGTCCCCCAATCTTTTTCTTGACCAAGGTTAGCAAGAAAATCGGCGCAAGTATTTCCTTCTCTGAAGATGTGCGTGAAAATGATACCATCGAATCTGGACGCCAAATCTATGCAATCTGAGAGCAGGGGGTCAAAAGCCCAGTCGTCTTCCTTGTCGCCATTCATGAGCTCAATTACCCCCTTCGAATCCATCTCTGCAATAACCCGTGTGACTCCTTTCTCATGGCAGAGTCGTAAACCCTCCCTTAGGCCCCACAGCTCTGCCATGAAGCTATTCGTCCTTCCAATTTTAGTCGTGAAACCCCAGGCCAAATTACCTACTTCGTCACGAACAAGACCTCCGGCGGAGGCTATGCCCGATAAGCGCTTGACAGCTCCGTCGGTGTTGAGTTTCTGCCAACCATGACCTGGGGGCGTCCATTGAACCCATGTTGAGCTTGCATTGAAAATGGGAACTGCCTTCGAAAGGGTGTGCACTTCCCTGGATTGAGTAGTCACCCACGACACGTCTTCAAGCGGTGATGTTCTTCTTTTGTTAAAAATCCAATCATTTCTGGCCTTCCATCTAGCCCAAAGAGAGAACGCAAAGGTTGTTGGCCAATTCTTGTCCGCTTTGCTGGAGCAGTTTGTTTTGATCCAATCCTCTAGCGTCCAATAGACCGGGAACCGAAAGTGAGTTGGTGTCGTTGATAGCCTCCAAAAGATTTGCGCCGTACTGCAGTCCCACAACAAGTGTCTAAGCGTTTCTTCACCATTCTCGCAGCTCGGGCAAAGGGACGAGTCCGCCAAGTGTCTTCTCTGCCTTTCCGCGTTCGTTAGCAGTCTTCCCTTTAAAACCAGCCAAAGGAAGGTTTTAACTTTTTCCCAGCAGTTTAGTTTCCATAGCCAACTCCAATCTTCATCAGTGTCTTCGAAACCTGCAATACAGTCATAGGCCGTTTTTACAGAAAACTTACCTGCAGCGCCCTTTGGCCACCCTATGGAGTCATTAGTCTGGCTGTCACCCGGGATCGAGACCGCGCGGATGTAGTCTATCACATCATTAGGTAGAATCTTTTGGAGTTTAGGATAATCCCAAGTTCTATTTTGGAGAATAAACTCGCTTACCATGCAATTGGCGAGATTGTTAGGGATGTTGATTGAGTCCATAAGGTTTAAAGACTTAGTCCCCACCCACCAATCTTTCCACAAATTTATAGAACGACCATTGCCAACCTTCCAATTTGCATTATCAACAATCGTGGCCCTTCCTTTCACAATGCTTCTCCAGGCCCAAGAACCATTTGGGGGGCTTTGAGTTGTGAGAAAATCACCATTTTTGACGTACTTATCTTTCATTACCTTGATCCAGAGCTTTTCTGATTTGGTGCACATTTGCCAAGCGAGTTTGGCGAGGAGAGCTTCATTAAAATGGGATGCTTTTCTAAGGCCGAGCCCTCCAACGATCCGTGGTTGACACACTTCGTCCCAATTAACTAAATGAATTTTTTTCATGTCTTGGGAATCTCCCCATAAGAAATCCCGGCAAATTTTGTCTATGCTATCACAGGTACTTTTGGGCAACGCAAGGGCTTGCATGGAATAAGCAGGAATGGTTGCGAGAGCAGATTGAGTAAGAATTCTGCGCCCTGCAAGGCTTAGAGTATCCCGTTTCCAACCCGAAAGTTTCTTTTCCATTTTTTCGAGGACATATCCAAAAGTATGTTTGGAGACCCGTTTGTGAAGCACCGGGATGCCTAGGTACTTGCCCATATCGTCTGTTATTGGAATCCCTGCCACCTCTCCGAGTTGGCGTTTAACCCTGTCACAAGTGTTAGGGGAACAATAAATAAGGGATTTATTAAGGTTAATAGACAAACCTGAACGTTTGGAAAAGTCCTCCACCACCGCGAGTATAATCCGAAGTTGTAGTTCTGTGGCCTCGCCGAAGAGAATGAGATTGTCAGCAAAGAAAAGATGGGAAATTTCTGTACCACCTCGTGCCACTTTGAAAGGTCTCCAGTGTCCTTTCCGGACTTCCTCCTGAATGGCCCAAGAAAGGACTTCCATGGCTAGAATAAAGAGGTACGGGGCAAGAGGATCTCCCTGTCTAACCCCCCGACTAGCGCTAAACGGCGGTAACTTGCCCCCATTCCAATTGATCGAAATGGAACAATCCCTAAGGGAGGATAACATTAGAGTGATAAATAATCTGGGGAAGTTCATTTTGTCAAGGGTTGCCTCTAAGAAACCCCAGTCCAGGCTGTCATAGGCTTTGTGAATATCCAATTTAAGGACCATGAAGCTTTTCTTGCCTTTCTTTTTTTCCATACTGTGAATAACCTCTTGGGTTAGGATCACATTGTCCATTGTTGACCTGCCCGGAAGAAAGCTATTTTGAAAAGGTCCCACGAGCCTCCTCATAACCGGTCTTAACCTGTTCACCAGAACTTTCGACACGATCTTGAAAATCACGTTCAAGAGGGTAATCGGTCTAAAATCCCCGGCATTTTCCGGTCTTTCTTTTTTGGGGATGAGAGTCATAAAGGCCCCCAAAAATCCTGTAGGAACACGACCGGAGAGTAAGCAGTCATTGACAAAACTTGTGATGTTCAGTGAATTTTTTTAATATTCTGTAATTTGTATTTATTATACATATATGTATTCATACATTGTTCAATAAATCTCAAAGCTTAAAATATTTAAACCAAAAAGTTTAGATTCTTATGAAGATTATATTAAACCATTCATGGCCATGATTTGTAACAGTTATTCTATTTATTACCTTCCTTAGCATTGTTATATTATAATTATAAAATGAACATTTGACTGAATCCCTTTATGAAACAAATACCCATTTCACTCATATTTCTAGTAAGAGTCAAACTCATATTCCTAATCCTGATATGAGACAAATATAAGAATCTCCACCTTAACGAATATGCTCTTCAAGAGAAAAGATAATTCAATAAATCTTCACCTTGGCGAATATGCTCTTTAGGAGAAATGACTTATCTAACCATCTCCACCTTGGCGAATATGCTCTTTAGGAGAAATTACTTATCTAACCATCTCCACCTTCACAAATATATCCTTTAGGAGAAAAGACTTATCTGACATATATACATTGGTAGGAAAAACCATACTCATCCCAACTAGCCAACCACATGCATCACGCAACATCAAACGTTTTCCCGTGCATGTACATGAACTGCTTTATCCCAAGTCATTCGCCCCTCAGCCGTCGACCTGTTATACCAGCCGCGACTCATGCTAACTCTCCCGTTCAGCTGATCTCCTGCATCCGGCCCATACTAGGTCCATGTCCCCTCCTGGTATCCACGTTGCCTCACGCACAATAGGGCCCCTACA